GATATAAGGATTTCTTCTTCTGCTGCCTTTCATTTTATTTTATCTGTATTGTTTTGTTGTTTGTAATGTGTTTTGTTTTGTTTTTTAAAATGAAATGAATAAATACTATAATAAATAATCCTCAGGGGGCTCTCCTGCTTTGCTCTGCCTGTGTGTGGGCACACACACACACACACACAGCTCGGGGTGACCGGAGCTGAACAGGCGGCGCCTGACGCTCGTATCATTTCAGACGCAGAGCAAACACTCTGACAGGTTCTTGGCCGAGCGTCTCGAGAGGCGGGGGTGGGGGTGGGGGGTTCAGGATGCTCTCGGTGCTGCCGTTGTGCACCGGCAAGGACTGTCAGGACCGAGGGTGGTTTCTACAGCTCCCACAACTGTCACTCCAAACCTCAGCTCAGTATCTATAAAACTGACAGAGTCAGATCTGTTTCAGTTTGCTGGTGTTTAAAGAAGATATCTGTCAGCACTGACACCCACTGATGAATAAATCTAATAAAAACTGTGATTTCCAACATCTCAGTGAGCTGCAACTGTTTGATCTTTGTCTCCATCTGCTGGTGGGAAAAATAACTCAACTTCTTTACTTTGAACCTTGATGTTTTGATTGAACTGCGCCATCTGGTGGTGAAAACTGGAATTGTTCCTATAAAAATATCTACTGTTCAAACATGATGTTAGCAAAAATATCAGCTTTTTCTACACTATTCCTCATGTGGATCATTAAGTTTCACTTCAGTGAACCATTCCTGTCAAACTAAACCTTCTTCTTCTAAATAACTTCAGTCAGAACCTCCTGTCAGCTGAGGACAGGAAACGGAGACAACGGTTCAGACAGATTACCGTTTGGTCTAATGCACATCAAACTCAAGGCCCGCAGCCCAATAGTGGCCCACCACAGCATTTTAAGTGGCCCACGAGCCACGATTAGTTGTAACATTAGACTTTATTTGATAAACATTTATTTTAACTGTAAAATAAAGACTGTAAAATTACTGTAGGATGTTTAGTTTTGTAAATTTTTAAAAACATATTTCAACACAGACGGGGCCATTTTATTTACACACAAAGCATTCTGGGTAAATGATGACGTGGATAGGTCCTCGGTGCGAGGCTGCTAGCGAGCTATATCCACCCTGAAGGTTAATCTTGGACAATATCTGATGATCGACTCTTTTAAATGRAACCAGAGAGCGTTGACAGAGAGGAGAAGGTAGAAATGACTCAGCCTGGAACTGAAAATATGGATGGAGGACAACAGAGCTGCTTCATGGAAGAACAACCTCAGCTTAGCCTGTTAGCTTTAACGCTAGCACCAACACTATATTGCCTTATATGTATTAGCTCGGTGCTAGCGCGACAAACAAGCTAAACTGAGGTCCTCCATCCATATTTTCAGTTCCAGGCTGAGTCATTTCTACCTTCTCCTCTCTGTCAACGCTCTCTGGTTTCATTTAAAAGAGTCGATCATCAGATATTGTCCAAGATTAACCTTCAGGGTGGATATAGCTCGCTAGCAGCCTCGCACCGAGGACCTATCCACGTCATCATTTACCCAGAATGCTTTGTGTGGAAATAAAATGGCCMYGTCCGTTTTAAAATATATTTTTAAAAACTTACAAAACTGTCCTACAGTATTTTTACAGTCTTTACTATACAGTTAAAATATATATTTATCAAATAAAGTCTAATGTTACAACTAATCGTGGACCCTTTTAAGAAAGGTAACTATTTTTGTCATTATTCCAGTTCTGGGAATAGGATGTAAATGGAAAACACCATTAAACCAACGAGTGGGAATTCCCTGTTGGAAAGTGGGATAGTTCAGAATTCAAGATGTTCACCACAACCCAACAGTGAGTAAAACTCTGTTTTATTTTTTCAAAGTATTCCTGTTTATTTATTTTACATTTATTCAGTAGTACTTTCCAGTGTTTATAAGAGGTGTTAAAACGCTGTTTCTATGCAGGAAATACCAGGTAGAGCTCAGTTAGTGTTTGTTAGCAGAGCTTCGGAACATAAAGTTTTAAATTTTGAAGTTAATTACACCTGTCCCTTTAAAATTAGTCTGGTTCTGTCGGACCACCCTGTCCATCTCTAACCACACTGTGTGTGTGTGTGTGTGTGTGTGTTAGCTACACATTTGATCAAAGCTTCCCTTTAAATCTGGACCTCACCAGTCTGTGTTCTGATCATCCACCACCAGCAGGATCTTGGGTTTCCGGACCACAGGTTTGGTGGGCGGAGCCGCTCCGGCGGAGGCGGGGCCCTCGGCCGTCGCGGCCACAGCCGATTTGGCGTGTGCGGCTGCGGCCACGTTCTGAGCCACCTGAGCGCTCTTCACCACGCTGGAGAAGGAGCTGAGGAAGCTGCCCGAACCCGAACCGGAACCCGAGCCAGAACTCTGGCTCTGGGTGGGGACGCTGGGGGGCTGCCGCCTCTCTGTGGCAGGGGAGGCGGGGGAGGAGGTGGAGGAGCCCGAAGGGGCCGGCCTCTGAAGGTCCATCATGTAGCCGTTGGGGAGGTTGGCCACGAAGCTGCTGTCTGACAGGCGCCGCCGAAGGTAGTTCATGATGATGATGATGAAGGTGAGCTGGTGGGTCCGTCAGGCCTGGGGGGCTGAGAGGAAGAACMGAGTCCTGCAGAGGAGACAAAGACATTTAATCTCACTGTTTGTTAGCAAATTATCTCACAAATCCAGGATAAAGGATAAAAATAAGGATAATTCCTTAATCTCATTTTGTCCTCAGAGAAAAGAGGAGGAAAGTTAAGAAAAGTAAATATTTTAGTAATTCTACATTTATCCTTAATAACTTTACATTCTGATTTCTGACACTATAAATTAAATTCTTCTGCTTCAAACATGACAACATGTAGGTTAATAAGTCAATTAACCAGGATCATCCTCGTCCTTTAAATCCTCACTCCAGCAGCTCATCATGACAAYGAATGTAAACGACCTGCTGGCAGATAATTCAGTGACACAGAAGTGATTCTGCACAGATGGATGGTTTTCACGGCTCCGTGTAAAACAGAGTTTATCAGGGAAAGAAAAACGTTATGTAACGCTGCCGCCACAGCCGACGCAGGGGAGAAATTCAAACAACGCGAAGCATCCAGCAGAGGAAACAAACCTTTAAACCTCATGAAATCTGGGACTCTCTTTTAGAAACTGGAGCTCAGACGAGATGAGTGCGTTTCCTGCTGAGGCGCCACGTCTGCGACCAGCGAGTCCAGAACGTTAGAGGCTGATCTAACGGACCAGTGGTGGGCACAGCTTACCAAAACGTTAGCTTCACCAACCACCAATCAGCTAAACGAGAAGCTCTAACACTAAACTAGGGCTGCCACCATTAGTCGATTAATCGACGACTAATCGATTATTAAAATAATCGATGACTAATTTAATAATCGATTAG